ATTTACCACCACTATGCCTGTATTAAATATAGAATAACAACATTTAAAACAATGTAGCTAAAAAAATTCATTTACGATAAGTATGTACCCAAGAACATATTTTTGCAGAAGGTGACAGCTGGCAACACTGGTAAGGCAAACAAAAATAAGCATTCCACTTACAATAAGCGAGTATGAATCTAAACATTCTTTTAATTTTAGTTTTAAGTATTATTCATCAATATTTGATGTATTCATAAGTATATAAATTCTATTGAAGTTTTTACTTTATTCTGACCTTTAATGACTTTTAATTATAATTATATATAATTGATATTTAAGGCTTTTAAAAATGATAACGTTTTATATCTAAATGTATGTATATATCGTGTTTGTTCATGTTAGTAGTAGAATATATACATAGAGCGAGTGAATCTTAATCAACATCACAAGGTACTTAAAATACTTACCTACCTTATACTACTTCCCTTAAAATATACAAAAATATATTGTATACTAGAATATTTTTTTAGTTTAAATGCCAGCTGAAGAGTCAAAGAATGTACATTAAAAGAAAATCTTTAAGAGCGTTGTTACTTCGCCGAGGTTTTAACAGGTCGAGAGCGTTAGTAAATGAATAAAATAATGGAAAATTGCGAGTCTGCCAAGAAAAAATGACGGTAGCGTAATAGCAGTCACTTTAGCGTGAATTTCAAGTCATTGAAAATATTTAATAAGATGTTACATATTCTATAAAATCTAGTTTTTTTACTCGACCATTTCGAAGCTTATTTACATCAAGAAAGTGATGTGTCCAGTTACAAGGTGATCAAAGCCGCGGACAAAACTAGTACAACATAAAGATTGTGCCAATACTATGCTTTCCTTTTTAAATCAGTATAATTATTCACTTTTTAACTAAAATGGAAATCGAAATTACTTAAAAAATAACTTAAGGTTGGATTTTTTCTTGAATATAATATAAATATATGAGATGAGACCACCATCAAAAAAAGAATTATGGAAATATGTTCAAAATTGGCGAGGATGTTGCGTAACATTCACAAATAGCCCTTTTTTGAAGTTGCCTAAAAATAAATAAAATTAATTTAAAAAATTAAAAATAATAAAATTTTACGTTCTATATAAATATAATATTATACCGACTAACTAACCGGGTAATTAGCTAACACGAGACCAAATTTTATGAAAATCTGTCCAGTAGTTTTCTCGTGATGCATTCCCAGATATACAGACAGACAAAAATTCTAACAACTAAGACTTTCTAAAACAAAAATAGATTCAGCCTTTGTATCGATAATAATGACTATTTCAATAAGTTTTTCCAAAATATATTATTTAATGTACAGATTCAACTCGCTTAGAATTTTGTTACCTATATGTGTAGATTAACTAACTGTATTTAGTATTATTCGATCGAATCGATTGCATTTTTAACAAGGTTATATTCACTTTAATATTTTTTTTAATTGTTCAAAAAAAACTCCTATACATATATCCTCCTATAAAGAAATGTCATTACGCCATTTGTTATCTAGAAACTAATTTTTAGAACTTCTTTCATCTGTCCGCCCAATTGATATTAAACTAAGAAGAATACAATCAGTTCGGGAAAAAACTTTTTTAACCCAAAAACCAAGTTAGATAGTTTTACATCGAACACCCTTCGGATAAAGTGTCATAATTTATATGAAATATTGTTTTTTCTGTCGAAGACAGTTGATTTTGCTATTTTTCTTATGTGGGTTTTAGGCTGTTTCCATATTTCCAACTTTTATTATTGATATTGTCTATAACATTTAATTTGTGTTTGTCTTTTAACTTTAGTAGTTAATTAATAGTTATTTAGTTATAATTACGAGGCATTGTTTTTTTTGCCGTCTAATTAAAAACTATTTGTTTATTACAACGCACGATATTGGAGATATACCTACCTAGTATACAAAAAACAGGCTTTATTCAAATAACACAATGGTAACAAATGCACACAGCCCTAACTCCTGAACTAGAAAACTGTGTTTCAAGAGCTAGTACCTTCCCATATCAGGCGTACATATTCAATGCATGAAATTACACGTTATAATAAAGTAACCTAATGTAAACAAAAAAAGATAAAGAAATACAAAAAAAATAGAAAAATACTTCTAACTTACAAGACAGATCTAAGTATTTTTTTCTACGGTTTATGCTAACTGCAGTTAGTATAAACAGTAGGTATATGTATATACTATGGAACAGTGGTACGTAACTAATAAGTATACAGCATAGTTAGTAAACTAACTATACTATAATAAACTGAAGAACGTTCATACATTATTGAATTATTAAAACCTCTTCCACATAAAATAAAATAAAGTACAAGAAATTCTAAAGGGTAATCAAAATCGAATATTTTTCCAAACGAAGAGCCCATCCCCATCCAATTTTTATATGAAACAATTTCAATACACAGGTAATTCAATACGAGGGCTAAGGGCAGCATTTTATGAATGGAACGAGTCCAAATGAGAACCATCGGGCCTAACTTTTCTCTTTGCATGAAAGTTTAGATGCGAACAGAAGGCCGGGTGTTCCCCTGGGGCAATGTACATGCATGTTTAATGGCGTCCTAGAAAGGTCAAGAGTCGGACTACGGGAAAAGGCAGTGAATTTATTACAAGCTCTCAAGTAATACTCAGTAGGTGGCCTGTGACAGCCTCTTTTACAACTTTGAAGAACTAACGCGCCGTGGACAGGCGCTTTGTAGCTGTCTCTCAAACAAATTAATTGTGTCTTAGATTTGAATGACGAGAAAGTACCCAAAACTTTTGAGCAAGGTACAGAATGGCTTCCAATACACGGAACTTTGAAATATAGCATTAACTTCCAACGCAGGTTGTTTGAAATTTGTTGAATTATTTACATTTTGCGTTAAAATTAGTATACTGCAAGGTTTTTTTTCATCTATACATATAATAAAAATGTAACTAAGCCGAATCTGTACATTAAATATTTTTTTGGAAAATCTTATTGAAATAGACATTATAATCGATGCAGAGGACGAATCTATAGTTTTTAGAATTTTTGTCTGTCTGTCTGTTACCGCATCACAGAAAAACCACTGGAGGGATTTTGATGAAATTTGGTATGGTAATAGCTGGTTATCAGGGTCAACATATAGGATACTTTTTTCCGCGGGAAAATGTCTTATTTCTAAGAAAAAATATAAAAACTGCAATGTAAGAGTATACTAAAATGTAAAACCTAAGAATTCGGTTTTTGGTCATCTGAACGCGGGCGGAGCCGCGGGCAATGCTAGTTTTACATAAACTCTGTATACTTTTACGACACTCCAGTCTCTATGCGTGAGCTAAGCAAAATATTCCATTAAATTTTTTCCATGTGGAAATATTTCTCGAATAGTTGCAAGATTATAATTAATGATTCACATTTTATGCAACGAGCTTAATCTATGTTTCTCAAACTATTTTTAGCAACTCTTTTCAGTAATCCAAATGAAATATGTGCTTATAAATGGCTATAATTCTCATCGTCATCGGGCAACTGTTATAAAATTTAATTGTTATACATAAAAATGCATATTATATATTTTTCAATAATATGATATGTATTATCACTACATATTATAAAATAAAGTCTGTCTGTTTGTTTGAACGAAACTACCGAACGGATTTTCAAACGGTTTTCACCTATAGACGGAGTGAGGAAGGTTTAGTATATACGATATATGACGATGCTTCTTGAAGATGGCTGAAAAAGTCAACTGGACGCTTTACTGACGTGCGCCGCGTAAACCAATAAAATTATATGAAAACAATGTACTATGGAATTATTATTTTTAATAAGATCTATGAAACTGTAGCAACGCTATATAGTCAGTCACTAGTCCATAATTAATATTATAAATGTGAAAGTGTGTTTGTTTCTTTGATTGTCCTTCTCTTACGTCGAAAGGGAGTGACAGATTGGCGTGATTTTTTTTGTGGAGATAGTTGGAGGGCTGGAGAGTTACATAGGCTTTTTACCGCGGGAGATTATCTAATTCCCACGGGGAAACACGTTATAATACAATTAAAAAATATATTTATGATCAGAATTACTTGAAAGTTGGTATTAATGCTCTTCAATAAAATTAAATAAATACTTGTTTTAGCATTTTCCGAAATTCGTCCTATGAGGGGGTAAAATAAGGGATGAAAGTTTGTATAAAACTAACTTTTTAGAGATTTTTTTTAGTTTTCGAACGAAGCCGCGGGTTCTGCTAGTAATGTATAAAAATATCAAACAATAAGTAAATTTATTAAAAAAATATATTTAACAGTAACAGTTAAAATGTAGAATGGAATGAATATGTAAACAGAAAAAGAGTAAACAATACTATAGTAGTACACAATCATAGTTATTAAGGATTCATATGGAATACACATCAGCACAATGTACAAATATACAAATGTCTTATGGATTACTTGCAACGGTCTGCGGTTCAGGCTATTTATCCCGTAACCACTAAGCATGACACTTGCTTTCTAACACCTGCAGTAAACTGTAAATATCTAAGAAATTAATTTAATTTCTAAGAAATCTATTGTTAACTGTAACGCCGGCATGTCCGCGGTCGTGGAGGGATTAAAGGAGTGCCTACGTACAATAAGAAGTTCAAGTTATATCTTGTATACAACTTGAACCTGAGTTATCTTTATTTGATTGAAATTAAACTGTTTTATCGCATACTCCTACATCTACAAGAAAAATTACTAATTTAATTTTTATTTTATGTGTTTATTTAGTTTATGCGTTCTAAAGTGATATAATGTAATTTAATACTTAAGAAAAAATGTAAAAACTGTAGATTTGGCTTCTACTTCGTCCTAAATATCACCTCAACACAAATATTCAAAGTTGACTCTTAACCTATTTAAAACAATAAGAATAATGAAATTAAGTTTAAATTAAGAAAGTTAATATAACGTTATATTTCTACATGAAAATGTTTGACCTACCTTTAGGTGGATTGATGTGTAGCGCACTTTTAAACAGACTTTCTTCGTCACGCCAATCTAAATTTCTTCGTAAAGTTGCGGCACTCATGGCCAATAAAGTCGTTAAAAGAACGAGCATGAATACACGACTGCGCATTTCATAACGGCGCCAATTCCTCGTCAATGTGCCCGCACCCAGGCCAAGTAAGAAGCAAAAACCTACGCTGGGAATATACAACACACGCTCTGCCACTACGAAGCCGACGTAAAAGAGAATATTACTGGCTGGCACGAACGGTAGAACCATAAACGCCGTGAATAATAGCATCGCGACCTGAGGACTTTGGTACACGTACTTCGGCGTACTTTGTACCTTTGATTTCCCGTGGGTGATTGGGCAAACGCAAGTCGAGTGGTGCATCATAGTATTATTATTGTTAACCGCACGGCACATGATCGTATGCTCTTCTGTTAGTGCATGCTTGCAGCCATTGCACGGACACATAGTTCTCTTAAATGACGCATTCTCTTTGTGAGGTATAATACTCTTCCTCTCGCAGTCTTGTCTTCTATTATAATGTTTACAATTGTAATTCCATTTTTGCTTTATTTTATTATTTTTCTTAAAATACTTTTCTTTCTTTTCTTGCTGCTTTATCAGCTCGTGTGATAAAGCTTTCCAAGTTACTTTTGATATCACGGCGTAGAAAACTAGTGAATACAGATTTCTCACGTCAAATATTGTCGTTATTTTAGGAATGGAGTCCATGGACCAATCGAAGCTCAGTTGAAATGGATAGATTAGTAGAAAAAAATTGAAAACTGGGAGGTAGGTAAAGGTATAAAATCTTGTTAGTAATGATGGATCCCTAGAAGTAGGATTATCCGCGGAAGCGAAGGCGGAGGGGGCTCCCGCAAGACGTAGCCGCCAGTACAACAACACGAACCCACCGGTGCTCAGTGCGCATATACTTCTCCACCGATACTGAAACAAACGAAAGTGATTTTAAATTATTTAAAATTGAAAATAATTTTCAATTATTTTTCTATTTTCAATGTTGTTTTTTAAAGAAACAATTTACTTTGCAAAGTTCGTCTATGTGTTACAGTCAATATCAGGCAATAACCAGGTTTTTGCAGAATATAGCCGAACATAATAAATTATTAATTTTTAATAGTATTTAAAAAAAGAACAAAAATTTCAAAACCTCTACCAATAATAAAATTCTAACTGATATGAATCTGTACATTAAATGTTTTTTGGGAAATCTTATTGAAATAGTCATTATTATCGATACAGCGGCCGAATCTATAGTTCTTAGAATTTTGTCTATCTGCCTGTCTGTGCCCGCATCACTAGAAAACCACTGGACAGATTTTGATGAAATTTGGTATGATGATAGCTGGTTATCCGGGTCAACATATAGAATACTTTTTACTGCGAGAAATTATCTCATCTCTGAGAAATCTATACTAAACGTTAAAACGCATATTTCATAATTAATGAATGAATAAATAATATTTTTTAGATAAAACCTACCCCTTTATATAAAATAAATTAAGTTTTGATCCAATATGATGACCTAACGATAATTTTTATTCGGGTAACATTAACATTAATTATTATAACAAGATAAACATTTTTATACAAATATTTGAAAAAGTGTTTCTTAAATATTGTATGTTAGAGACACTCTACAACCGTGTTAAGTGTAATAGAATATTTTACCAATATTATTAATTTAGTGTTATAGAATAGAATCCTTTACGAATGTCGATAGTAGAAACGGCTAAAACAATTATTTAAACGCGATACTTTTATTATGTAAGTCATAATAAAACTTTACAACCAAAACATATTTTATTTTTATTAAATCGAATTCGTTTATAACAGACAATACTTGGGCTTTACACTCTACGTGCTGCGTATAATGTTACCCCCTGTTGATATATTAAATTAGTATAGATTAAGAAAAAATACTCGAGCAGGCAAAGCAGAAGGCAAAAGCTAGTCAAAAACAATATTTTAAATATTGCTCTTTCATTTTATATCAAAAATAGTTGTAAACATTCGAGTTTGAGTGGATGAATAATATCTCGATCAAAGTTTTCCAAGGAGGCCGCCTAACCTCAATAACCCTGCCATCTACTGTTTCGTTTTCATCAAGAAGGTAATAAAAATGTCTTTAGCTACAAATTGCTTTTGAACAAAGAAAGCGTTTTGAATAATTACCCTGTTCTCTTGTATGTAAACTGATTATAATGGAATCAGTTTGCGTGCTGGTTGCATTCTAACATTAACAAATAGCAATAACATAAATTAAATAATGTCACGTTTGACACGTTCACGAATCATTCATTGGTAACTGTTTCAATTACATAAAAGAAATAAATGAAATAAAAATGTGGGGACATTAACACACAGCACCATCTTGTTCCATGGTAAGCTACGAGGCTTGTGTTATGGATACCAAATAGTTGATACACTACACATACATATGTATATAACTTTAAATACATACACGTTATAAATATAAACACCCATGACTGGAGTACAAACATTCGTGCTAATCACACAAACGAATGCCCCCAGCGGGACTCGAACACGCGACAGCTGGCACAGGAAGTAGGGTCACTACAAACTGAGCCAAACGCATAAATTCGACGGATTTTATAGCAAAAATATTATTTCTTAGATTATTTCTATACATATAATAAAACTGTAGAGGTCGAATGTCTGTAGATAAAAAAAATATGCTTAAACCGAGTCAGGGGTATGTAAGAAGAGAAATAGAACAAATCCAGATTTTATTCAATTTTTTTGTTTCTCTGTTTGCCTGTTTGTAAAAAATTGTCTGTTTGTGAAACTATTTGACCGATTTAAATGAAATTTGGCATAGCGGTACCTTATATCCTTGTTCAACATATTACATACTTTTCATCCCGGAAAATTAAAGAGTTCCCGTGGGATAGTTAAAAACTATAGTAACTTATACGGCTTAGTACACAAAAACTACTGATTGGATTTTAATGAAACTTTACAATATAGTTCATACATCAGTATGACAAATAAGCTACTTTTTATCCGGGTAAAATGTATGGTTCCCGTGGGATAGATTTTTTTTGTTTGTCTAGAGGCGATCCCGAGTGAAGCGAGAGTGAATCGCTAGTTAAACAATAAATTAAGAATCAGATCTCACACGTGTACATTTACATTTCAATTTGTCACTTATATACTCGCTTAGGTATATTATTTTAATGGAACATAAAGTAGGATTAGTAACGTGATGGAATTAATTAGTACAGCTAATGAAAACAAATAACTTAATCGATCTAAGTGATTTCCTTTATTCTTTATAGCGAACGCACATGGTATCGAATTTTATATTTTTAAATATTCAGGCTTATCTAATGCAAAAACTTTGCTAACTTTGATTGATCACCACTCGGAAAGAATTCGTTAATATCTGTCAAAATTTACCGCAACTTATTAGAAAATGGAAATTGTATAACAAGGGAAAAATATAACAATAGCTCTAAGATCAATTTTCAATAAGCAAAATTAAAATTATTCTTAATAAATAAAGTAACAGTGAATAAAATGTCTTCTATACACATTAAGCTATCAATCATCATCATAATCACATGGCATTTTTTATAATTAGAATTATTTAATCAGAAATGTCAATTCAAATAGTACACGCGTAATAACATAATTTTTAAATGTTCAATAAGTAATATATAATATAATTCTCTTAAAACTTTCTAACCACAAAATCTACGCTTTTGCACCTTCATTCCCTAAAGAGCTAATAATTTTAACATTAGATGAAGGAAATCCGATAAAATTGATTTAGTTGCAAAGGGACTAAAGCGGGTGTCACTTTACATTATTAAATATAAGCCATTTTGTAGCATTTTAGAGCTAATTCGGTTTGAAATATCAGTAAAACTGGTATGAAATTTTTGATCATTATTTAGAAGCGTAGGGTTCGACAAGAGGTAGTAGTGACTGCTCTCGTTGCCTTGTTAGTTGCGGGGAGCCGGAGAAAAGATTTATGAAGGTCTATGCCCGCGTCCCCTTCCCGACCTGGCCCATGGGAAACCTCTGTAGAACAAACGACGCCGTGTAAGATTTCCTACGCAATTTACACGGCGAGGTGAGGCCACGTACGTGTGAAAGGAAATCTCCCGTAAATTAATGTGGGTAATAAATTAATTGTGTGAAACTTAAAACTTTGTTTGTTTTACCATAGTAAAAATAATATTATGTACACTATCTATTCATAATGATACAATTTAAGATAAAAGTGGCCTCCATTTAATAAAGCAGGTAAATAAAGGCTTAGAATAAAATTACAAGTATCAAAGCATTATTTACGAATATACAGTTTTTCACTGAAATAATGAATAATATGGTAACAGCATCTATAAAAATTTTATCCAATACAATATCCTGCAGTGTTAACTGTAAATTTTTTATCGGTACCATTTTCCAAAGTGAAAAGTATTCGCTAAACAATTTACGGAAGGACTGTAGAATAATCAGTTTATTGATAGGAAATCGAATGAAAATTGGTTTTGAGTATTCATGGCAGAAATCGTTCCACGCCCGTCGGTACTTGACCCGTATTTTATTCAAACAAATTGTTTTATTGCTGCAAATCAACAATTTTATTAAAAAAGTTTTCATTCTTTTCTACGAGAAATTCGAAGGAAAAAAATTTATCGATAAAATACGTAGTACCCTCGTTACGCTCAGATCAAATGTTTTCCGCAACCCGGTTGTCATCTTACTTAACCAGGTCTTTCTAATTAAATTATTAATGTCGTTATGCATCTGGATCTATAAAGATATTCATAAAATGTTTTCGCTTACACTATAAATATAGATTTTCTTTTAACATGTATTAATTTAATTACATTATTTATTTATATAACTACCAGTACCCCGCGGCTTCGCCCGCGTTCAATTGCTGATATAGCACATGTTTAGTATATGGGACGCGGCTTCTGGAAGAGTGGATAGTATTTTTAGATAGGATGATATGAGGTCTAAATATTCACATATTTTTTTAGGAACTGGATGAGTCAAAAGTTATGGAGGCCTAATGTTATATAATTATTAAAAAAAATCATACCTAAATAAGTAATTACTACAGATAAGCATACTTTTAAAGACTAGTAAACACAATTCATATTATTATAACAATTAAGATATTTTAGTTTCGACTTTTCAATAATTTCACTTAAAAGTAAAACAATTTTTTTCTTTAATGGTTTAGAGAAAAAAATATAATAATCTTACATTTTGACAAAAGTGTCAATTTCTTTTTTAAATGTTGTTGTCATGTTATAACAGAATATCACATAAGTTGTAGTACTTAATAGTTGTAGCCGCTGGTATTTTTAAAAATAGCAGATTTTTTTTTTATAATATAAAGTTCTAAAATGTTTTTACTATTTTTTCACAAAATAACCTAAACAACAAATGATTTCTTTTTTGGGTACCTTTATAGGGGTACCTTATGCAAAAAAGGAATCTATACTATAATAATATTATGAAGAGGTAAAGTTTGTGAGATTGTGAGTTTGTGACGTTGTAGGGGGTAATCTCTGGATCTACTGAACCGATTTAGATAAAATTTGGTAAGAAGATAGGTTGCGACGCTGGGAAGGACATAGAACTTTTTATCCCGGAAATCATCCCTTAAGGGGGTGAAAGTGGGAATGAAAATTTGTATGGGGACTCAAGCTAGGGACAAACCCGAGCGAAGCGAGGGTGAGTCGCTAGTATTCAAATAAAATAATTATTAAATTAAAAAAGCACATAGTTTATTCACAAATTCTTTATTAATCGTTTATATATTTATACGTTAGTAAAAATTCATTGTGTCTAAATTTAATGAGGCCCCTAGTTAATTAGACAAAGGGCTACCTACATCAGTTGTAGTCCGCTCACCGTAGGGATTATTTTTTGTTTAA